CGCCCTCAACCACAGGAAAGGGGAGGCCCCCGTCCGTGGGCGTGGAGGCAGCTCCCCACAGCCCGACCCGTGTGGGAGGCACCCGTCCGTCCTCGCCCCGGGGCAGCAGCCCCCACCCGCCAGGCCCCGCCGCCTCCCGCACCCTGGGGCCCTGCTGAGGAGGAGGTTTCAGCTGCGTGGGGCCCCAGGCCCTGGGCGTGGAGCCGGGGTGGAACCGGGGGCAGAGCTGAGGCTCCGCGGCTCCCCCGGCCCTGCCTCTGGCTTCAGACCAGAGCGCCCTGGAAACGCGGGCGCCCGGCCGGGTTCAGAAAGTCTTCCTGAGGACCCGGCTCCAGCGCCGCCCCTCCCAGGGCGGGGGCTTCGGAGGGGAGCGGCGAGGGAGGGGGTGAAGGAGGGGGCGGGGTCTGCGTCCCCGCGGAGTGGGGCCTGGCCGAGGTCCGGCAGCTGCCCGCCCCCCACCTCAGGGCCGCCCGCTGGGACGCCCCGGGGCCTGCTGTTCTCCCCCGACGTCTCGGTCCCCCACGCCCTGCCCGGCCCCAGCCCTGCGGCCTCCGGGCGGCAGGCGATTCGCTGTGACCTGTGACAACCGACCCCTCAGCAGCTGAGCGGTGTCACCGCGAATTAGACCACGCCGAGCCCGCCGGAGCCAAGGCCGACGGCTGCCCCGGGCCGCTGCGCAGCCAACTGCGCAAGGGGTGCTGCTCGCGGCCCCTGTGCTCCTCGGCCGGACCCCAGCCTTGCCCGCCCTGCCGCAGGCCCCGCCCCCTCCCCAGGTGAGGGGGCCCCCTCCCCAGTTCCCCAGGTCCAGCCCCCACATCCTCTCCTACCGGGTCCTCTCCCTGGCCCTCCACCCGCACCCACATCCGTCTCCTCTCCTTTCAGCGAAACTCCTAACACAACCCGTCACCCACCCACTCCCTGGGCCCTGGGGCTGCAGAGTCACTGGGCGTCCCGGCCGGAGCTGCCTCCCCCCGTGCCCCCGCCCCCGCACTCACCTGACCGAGGCCCGGCTCTGGCCCTCTCGGGGCTCCCGCCCTCTCGGGCGTCCAGCTGCGGCTCTGGGGCCCAGGCCTGCGCCCCGTCCTGGGAGCCCTCTGGCTGCAAGGCCCTTCCAGGACCTGGGGGACGCTGCCTGCCCTATGCCGAGCACCCCATGTCACCCCGCTGGCCGCCGGCTGCTCCCCGCAGCCCCCAGGTCCCTTCCACCTCCGCCACCTCGGCTCCCACACCACAGGCCTCCCAGGCAGGGTCGGGACCAGGAGGGTGGCACTGAGGCTCCCTCTCTGCACCCCCGCGCCCCTGCCCCTGCGGAACCCCTGGAGCTGGCCCGGGGAGGCGACAGGGCCGGACCTGCACCGGAGCAGCAGGCGCGGCTGGGGGCCTCCCCGCCCCCAACCGTCCCCTCAAGTGCTGGGAGCTGCCACTTATCAGCTTCCACTGGGCGCTGGGTGAGGCCAGTTGCTTTGGACACCCACCCCGTCCAAAGTCCCAGGCCTTGGGTCAGAGAGCCCCCTGGTCAAAGCTTGTGGGCCGCCCGGCCCTTCCTTGGGGCTCAGGAGAAGGCGTCCTCCGGGCTCTGACCCGGCCTGGTGGGCAGGTCGCCCGCGCGGTCCCGCAGGCCTGTGTGTGGGGCAGCAGGTCGCGCCGCTGGGGGGTGACGGGACACACCTCCGTCCTGGAGGGCCTCTGGGCCCTCGCCAGTGGCACTGAGGACCCAGGTTCAGCGCTTCCCCGGAGCCGCACCAGCTGGAGAGGCAGGGAAGCAGCTGAGCCGGGCGTGCCTGCTGGGGGCGGGGCGAGGGGCCCGCAGATGTGGGAGGCGAGGCCCAGCTGGTGCGCTGCGCGGGGCGGGGCTGCGGGCGCTGGGAGTGGTCTCCGCCCCCGCGGCGCCTGGGCCTGGGAGCCCGGCAGCTGGTGCAGGGGGCTCCTGGCCCCGGTTCTGGGAATTCCAGGGACACTGAGTGCAGGGTGGTGGGAGAGGGCGTGGGAGCGGCCTCCGTCCTGGGCCGGTGGCAGTGGCGGGGGCGGGGAGCGGGGGAGCCTGGGGTGAGTGCACGGCTGACGAGGGTGTATGTGTCGCGTGTGTGCGCGCAACCCCGTCCCGCCCCGCAGGCCACCCCAGCACAGGATGCAGGCCCGCAAATGCGCAGCTCCTTAGGGGCCTCTCCCGCCAGCTCCGGGGAGAGAGACCACCGCTACCGGCTGCCCGGGCGCGGCCCCTGGGAACTTGAGGTCCCCAGGCCGCCCCAGTCTGTTCTGATGTCCCAGCCGCCCCCGAAAATGAAAACCCCAACCCCTGCCCCCCAGACACCGGCAGCAGGACCGACGGCAGCCTGACCCGCTGGCTTCTTGGGCGGGTTGCTGGTGACCTCTCGGAGCTCATTTTGGTCCCTGCTGTGGCCCCCGCGGGGCCCGACAAGGGGAAGAGTCTCAGACGGAGTAAGGTGACAGGCCGGCGAAGGACCAGCCCCCCAGAGGCAGGTGGGAGCTGGGGCATGGCCACCAGGTGCGAATTCGGTCAGCAAGATGGCTCCTGCGCCTCCTCGGGGACGCGCAGGACGGCCCGTGGGCTCCCGGGGCCCAGGGGCTGGCTGGCCCCGTCAGAAGCGGCCGTGCAGGGGGCCATCCCAGCCCCCGGCATCTGGGCAGGGGCTCGGGGACCTCGGTGCTGAGCGCAGTTTCCTCTTGCAGGCGGGACACTGAGGCCCCGCCCCCGCCGGCCTGCTCCAGGCCTTGGGCTGCCCACTGCTCCCTCTCACACCCGTGGGCTGGCGGCCCCGGCGCTGCCTCTGCTGCACATGCCTGCACGGCACATGCCTGCACAGGCACACGCACACGGCCACGCAGAGGCCCACGCAGACAGCGACACTGGCCGTTCACCTGCCCACGCTCCCGAGGGCCCTGCTCTCTGGTCGCCAGGCCCCTTGAGTTTGAAGGCCCCCAATTCTCTCACAGTCCCTCCCTGGGACTCCCCTGGTCGCTAGCCCCAGCCTGGTGGCGGCAGTCCCCCCCCCAGACAGGCCTGGGGTGCCCCCCACCTGCCCCGGCCCCTGCCCCCGCAGTGGGTGGGAAGCCGTGGAGGTCAGTGGGCGCCTGGCAGAGGTGCCTGGTGGGGCCTTGCCCTGTGGCCTCTGCCTGGCGGGCACAGGAGGACTGGGAGCCAGAGGTGGCCTCCACGGTTGGCTGTTCTGCGAGGTCACGGGTCTCCCCAAATGCTTTTGGAAAAGACGTGTCTCTAAACACAGAGGAAGTGCGCCCCGACTCCGGCAGGAAGTCCCGTTCTCCGGTCCCTTGGCTTCTCTGAGCCTCATCCTGGGGGCAATGGGGGGAGGAGGGGGGGAGGGAGGCAGGAAGATGAAAGCAACTAGAGGAGGAGGAAGGTGAAATCGGACCCAGCACAGCCGGCTTGGGTGGGAGCCACAGAGGCGCTCCCCGCTCCCTACCCACCCCTCTGGCTGGGCCGCTTTCTCTGCCCGGAGGAAGGCTCCCCGAAGGCCACTCAAGATGCCAACGGTGAAGGCCCAGGCATCTCTGTGAAACACAAGCCAGTGGACGTGCATGTGCATGTGCGAGGCTCCAGCCCCTCCCGGGTGACAGCCTCCCGGGCGGACGCCTGAGCCCTGGGCAACCCGGGGCCTGAGCCGGCGGCTGCGGCCCTGCCGGAGGCAGGGGCCTGCACCCGGCTCCCGCGCACCCCGCAGGCTCTCCGTTCTGTCCCTTTAACTCACTCCTGCCCCCGCCCACTCCTCCGCAGGAGCGCGTTGGGGACCCGCAGCAGCCTGCTCCCCTCCTGGGGGATGCAGGTCTCAGCCCCTGGGTTTGGGGGTTTTGCTCTAAGTTTTACTCTAAAGCAAAGGGGCAGCGGCAGCCTCGTCTTTTCTCCTAGTCGCTCCACTTGAGACAAACTCTGCGAGGCACTCGGGCTGCCGGCGCGCGGGGGAGAACCGGCGGCTGCCGGGACGCACGGGCCCTCTCCGCCCAGGAGGGCGGCCGGCCGCGGCCCTTCTCCCCAAGGGCGCCAACGACGGAGCTTCGCCGCCTCCACCCTCCGGTGAAGGGAGGTGACCGTTGCCTAAACCCTGCAACCACCCGGGCCCCCTCCCGCACGCCGGACCCCCAGAGGTGGGTCCTCTCCCCGGCGCCCCGCAGTCCAGGCCACCTCTGCCCTTCAGGTGGGCGGCCCCGGGCTCGGAAGCGCGGGGACAATGCTTGTCGCCAGGACGCCGCAGCCCTGCACTTGGGGGCGCCACCCACGACGGCCTCGTGCGCCTCCGTGGGGCCCGGACCCGGCGCCCCAGCCTCCTCCTCCAGGGCCGCCCCGGGGCGGGGGGCAGCGTCCTGTGGGTGGCTCTGGCGTGTCTCCCGCTCCCTGGCTCCCGCAGGGCGCAGTTCGGCCTCCTTCTCTCTGAACCAGGGACCCCCAGGGCAGGAACGGAAGCCACAGAACCACCAGCCAGGTTCCAGGGACTTTGGTTGTTAGGATCTAAACGGATTTATTGTCTTTTTTTTCCCCTTTCCCCGTTCCATAGCAAATGAAAAAAGAACCCAACAACACAACAAAACTTTGAACGAGTCGCCACGCGTCCTGCTCCGGAGCTCAGCGGGAGCCAGGACCGGCCGGAGCCCCTCTGCGGGCCTCCCCACCCCCTCCCCCAAAGCGGCCAGGCTTTTAAAACAGACCCCGCACCCAAAACGAAACACAATTTAAATGGAGATAAAAACACTTTCTTCACCCACCCCCATGCCAGGAGGTTCAAGCCAAAACCTCCTCTTAAATTGTTTTCTGCTAGAAATACTGTGCATACTTTTTTTTCTTTCATTTCTCTTGAAGGTTAAAATAAGATATATTTCCCCGGAGTCATAAATACGATCTGGTGCATAGAGAAAGAGCGGCGCGTCGGCCCACGCCCTCCCCGCAGCCAGGGCGGTCGGGCGGCGGGACTGAACACGGCCTCGGGGCGGGCGCGGGGCGGGCAAGGGCGGGCAGGGGCCGGGCAGGGGCCGGGCCCTCCGAGCGAGCGACACATGCTGGGACACGCGGACGTCCAAGGGTGACCCCGGAGGGAAGTTCCGAGCTTCTTCCGGGGCCTTTTCTAATCACCAAGCAAAATAAATATAAATACTTCGAAAGTAAGACCGGTTCAAAACGGAGTAAAAAAGGGCAAGGAGGGCAGGCGAGAGGCAAGGAGGGGTCGGGACTGCGCCCCGGGCAGGCAGGGCGGCGTGGGAGCAGAGGCCGCGCGGGGTATGTACACGTGAACGCCTGCACGGAAGTTCGACCTGGAGCGACTTTCCTGGAAATCGCTGCGCTCTGCGCGCCGGGGCTCCCCGGCCGGGCAGGTGCGCGAGCAAGCGAACCGCGCCGCGGGAAGGGGCCTCCCGTCCGGCGCCTGCGGACGTGGAGCGAGGCGCCCGGTGCTGGCCCGGCTGGAGGCGGCGGCGCCGGCTCCGGACAGCCTTTGCGTCCTCGTCCTGGGCCGCGGAGTCCGAGCCTCTTCCCGGCGGCGGCGCGGGTTCGGGTCCGGAGCTCACAGGAAGAAGTCGGGCGCGCCCTTGGCCCCACCGGGGCCGGCCTGCGGCGGCGAGGACTCCCGCGGGAAGCCGGTCCCGCCCGCGCCCCCGGGGCCACCGCGGCCCGCCAGCTTCTCGTATTTCTCCTTGTACAGGTCCCGCTCCTTGGCCAGGCGCCCCACCTCCAGCTTCAGCTGCTCCACCTGGCTCTGGAGCTGGCACTTCTCGCTCTCCAGAATGTGCCGCTGCTGCACCCGCTTGAAGCGGCACGACTGCGCGTAGCCGCGGTTCTTCAGCGTGCGCCGCTTCTGCTTCAGCCGGATGACCTCTTCCTTGCTGAAGCCGCGGAGCTGACGGTTCAGCTCGCGCACCGACATGGACACCAGCTGGTCGTCGGAGAAGCGCTCCTCCAGGCGCACGTGGTGGCCCGCGCCGCCCACACCGGGGCCCGCGCCGCCGTGGTGGTGGTGGTGGTGGTGGTGGTGGGCCGCGTGGTGATGGTGGCTGGCGTGGTGCGCGCCGTGGTGGTGGCCGGCGCCCACGTCGTCCGCGCCACCGCTGCTGCCCGCGAAGCCCTGGCCCCGGAAGGCCTCGTAGGCCGCGGCGGCCGCCGGGTGGTGCGCGCCGTGGTGCCCGGCGTGGTGGCCGCTGCCAATGAGCGCCTCCACCGCGTCCTCGGGCGTCAGGTTGAGCGCCTCGGGGTTCAGGTGGTGCTGGTAGCCACTCATCCAGTACAGATCCTCCAGTGCCGGCTTCCCCGAGGCGCCTCCGACGGCGCCGGGGCTCCCGCTAGCTGGGCCCGGGGCGCTCCCGGCCTGCGCCGCGCCGCCTGCTGCGCCGCCGCCGCCCCCGGTGCCCGGGCTGGGCGCGCAGAAGCTGGGCGAAGAGGGTACGGAGGAGCAGGGCGTGCTGAGCGGCGTCGAGGACAGCGAGCCGGGCGGCAGGCGATGGCAGAAACGCTCGGCCTCGGGTGGCTCCTTCTTCACCTCGAACTTCATCAGGTCGAAATCGTTGACGTACTCGATGGCTAGCGGGCTACTGGGCAGCTCAGCGCCCATCGCCAGCTCCGCGGCCATCGCCCGGGGCCCAGGCCCCGCCGCCGCGCGCGGTTGCGCCCCAAGGGAGGGCGTGGGGGGGGGGAGCCGCGGGCCTCTCCCCCCCCTCCGACCCCCGGGGGCGCCGGGTCCCGGCCGGACTGGCCGGGGTGAGGGGAGGCAGCTCTGGGCCGCCGCGCCCAGGAGCGCGCAGGAAAGTTTAGCGCAGTCAACTCAGGGACGGCCGCTGGGTGCGTCGCCGGCCGGGTCCCTCGGGCTGCCCCGGGCCGCTCCCCAGCGGGCGCAGGCCAGCCGCACTCCTCTGACCGCGCGCCGGAGCCTGGGCAGGTGGCCGGGCCGGAGGCGGCGCAAGAACCACCTCCTCCCAGCTGCTGGGACTCAGGGTGCCGCGCCCGCGCTCGGCCGGCCCCGCCTCCACGGCCGAGCGCCGCGCCGGGCGCTCCCTTTTATAGCACCGGGAGCCTGGGCCCGCCTCCCCGGGACGGGCGCGCGCCCTCGAGCCAATCGGAACCCCAGAATCTCCGTCCTCATTTGCCTATCCCCATGGCAACCCGGAGCCCAGCTGTCAATCTGCTGCAGGGAACAGCTGTGGGAGGGGGTGGTGACCGGCCGCTGGCTAGAGGAGGGGGCAGGGCCCTCTGGTGGCCGCCGCCGGGGACTACAGCGGCGGAGGACGCGGGGGGCGCGCGGCCGCGGGGCGGAGGGGTGCCGGGGCGCGGGGACCGGCCTGCGGCCTCCGGCGCCTCGCGTCCGCGACGGGGCGGCCGGAGAGTCTCGGGGAGCAGAGGGCGCCCCTCGGTCTCCTCGCGTCCCCGCTGGCCGTGACCCCGCAGCCCATTCCCCGGCCCTTCCTGGCTGGCGGGGAGCCCGCAGCCAGGTGCGGCGGTGCGGAGACCTGCCGGCCTCCCGACCCCGTGACGCTGCGGCCCCGCGGACGCTGCGCGGGGCGCGCCGGCTATTTTTAGCGGGCGGTTCAGGCGGGTCCAGGAATTCAGTCAACAAAGTTGCTGGCACCTCGGCGCGGCGGGAGCCAAGGCGCGCGCGCAGGTCGGGCGGGAGGCGCGCGGCGCGGGGTCCGGGCTCGGGCGCCGGGTCGCCTCGGCCGCAGCTGCCCGCCAGCGCGAGGCGGGGTCCGGGACGCGGTGTTGGGCCTGGCGGGCGCGCGGAAAGGTGGGAAGGCTCCGGCGCGAGGAGAAAACGCGGGGGCTGGGGTGGCCGACTGGGGCGGACGCGCGTCCGGCTGCCCAGGACTCCGTGACAGCGAAGGGGACGGTGAAGCCCAGGGCAACCGGAGCGGGGTCAACGGGGATGGGAGGGGCCTGACCCAGGGTGACACCTCTAATGTCCACATTGCCGTTATGTGACTTTTACAATGTAAACAGCCAGTGTCGAGTGTAAGCATTTACGCACAGAAAGGGAAGCCTGGAAGGTGTGCGCAGAAAGGCCCCAGGGGCGCTGAGCTGCGTGCCGCGGGCATTTAGCTAACAGGGCTATGCACCTCGTTCCGGGTGTGAGTGTCTGTACTTTATAGTAAAAAATGTCTCATGATTGGGAGTGACAGCCAGCTTTCCCAAGACGTCATGGGGGTGGCCGGGCCCCGCTGTGCCAGGTGGGCACGTCTCTCCCCCCTTGCCCCAGCATCTTGCAAGCAGGGCAAGGACTCCCTTGTCAGAGGGCCAGGCAGAGCGTGGGGACATGCCTGGCAGGGAGACCCGGCGAGTGGCAGAACCGAGGCCCCAGGCCACACAGCACAAGCCGAACGGTGCAGGCGTGAGGCTCCCTTTAGAGCCCGCGGTGTCCAGAGGGAGGCTCCTGACCCGGGCAAGGCGTGTCCTGTCTGCGGGGAGAGCGCCTGCCTTGGGCTGCCCCTGCCCCCACCTCTGCCTTTCGCTCTGTGGCTGCAGCCGGGCTGTTGGACCTGGCCAGGGCTCGGTCCCAAGCCCAGGAGGATGCTGGGGTGGCGGAGCCCAGCCCCAGGGGCCAGCGTGGGCCTCCTCACAGCCCGCGGCCTCAGACTCAGGGGCGCAGCCCCACAGCAGTGCCCGGGCTCTGTGGCACCCCCAGCCCTGACAGGTGCAGGCAGACAGGCAAGGCCCCGCCCCGCCCGTCCAAGCCCAGCCGGCGTCTCCTCGAGGCCCGTGCTCAGCTACCACCAAGGCAGCTGCCCCCACAATCTGCCCCCAAATCTGCCCCAAAATGGGAGGTGCACGGATGCTGGGCCCTCTGCTGGGGGGCCTGGGGCCAGCCATCCCCCCATTCACTCACACACACGTCTGCCCACCTTGTCCGCTCTCTCCCTCCTCCACTAGGGGCAAGGGACAGCCAGAGCAAAGTGGCTGCAGTCAGAGGCAGATGAGAGGCATGGGACCTTCAGGGCTCAAGGTCCCCCCACCCAGGGTGACCTAGGAGGAGCGGGCCGCCTATGGCCGAGCAGGGCACTCCCCTGCCCTACTGGCTTGGGAACGGCCAGCTGCCCCAGCCCTGGACGTGGCCTTGGTCGGAACAGCTTCCCAGAAGAGCTCTGGGCCTGCAGGCCTGCCTTTGGCTTCTGGCCGCCCCCGAGCCTGGGAGCAGGGGGCCTGGGGAGGTCTGCGCCCCCCACCTCCTCTGGGCTCCTGCCGGCCTCTCGGTCCGCTCCCTGGGCTCTGTGCAGCCTCAGTCCTGCCTGTTAGTCCCTGCCAGCTGGGGCAGGGGAAAGCCAGGTGAGCCCTGTGCCCTGGCTCCGGGGCCCCCGAGGGCAGGGTCCCCTGCTCTCCAGCCCAGGGAGAGTGCTGGCCTCGATGGCTTGGGGGAGGGATGCGGCTACGAGCAGGCGCTTGGCTGGGCCTGGGGAGCAGAGGCTGGGAAGGACCTGGCCCCTGTCCTGCCCGCCGGGAGCGGCCAGCAGAGGCGCCACGGAAGAGGCAAGCAGGCGCGCTGCGTGCCGGGGGGACAGGGGCGCGCCAGGGCAGCGCGGTCCCGCCTGCCCCTGGCTGTCCATCCTGCCCCGGGAAAAGGCTCTTTCCTTCCGGCCCAGCACCCGTGCGCCCTCCTGGGGCGCTCACACCCATCAAAGCATCGGCCCTGGAGCCACACGACTCCATGGGGACCTCTCCTGCGGCTCGTCATTAGGTGCACTGCACAAATCTTCACGGAGCACCCACTGCGCGCCAGTCTGCCTGTCCCTGGGGCACCTCCAGTCAGGCCGGCAGCCCAGGGGTCCCTGGCTGGAAACAAGCCCTCAGCGCCCCGGGGTGCAGTGCAGTGTGGCAGGACGTTCGGGGTCTGTGGCGACGGTCAGCTGGGGCGCAGGGAGGGCTGGACTCCGGTGCCGACGGCTGGGAGGACTTGGAGGAGCGCCGGTGGCCGGCGCCCCAGGCACTGCAGGCCACAGGGGCCCTTGGCTGGGCCGGCCCCGCCCAGCGTCTCAGCGCCTGGCTCCCCGGCGCGGCCTGGGCTTGCCCCCAGCATGGCGGCTGGCCCCCTGCGCGAGCAAGCGCCCAAGGGGGACGGGTGGTGCGCCTGGCGTTCCTGTGAGTCCCAAGGGGCTCTGTCGGCCAAGGCGTGGCAGCATCCGCTGACGTCCGGGGGAGGCACGAACGCCACCTCCCGCTGTTCCTTCTGTGGAAAACAGTCTGCCAGAGTGGGGGTCCAATGGCAGAGCGTAAACCAAAAGCAGCTCGAAGCACAGCACACAGGGTATCAGTTTCCTGTCGCTACTTAATGAATTACCACACTTAACGCAGTTACCATCTCCCATACTCTGTGGTCAGGGGTCCTGCCCCCACCAGGGGGTCTCTGCTCAGGGGCCCAGGGGCCCAGGACCCCAGGACCTCTTCTGGAGCTTCTTCTGGAACCCTCTGGAGTGCTCCGGAACTCTCCGGCTCCCTCGGGTTGCCGGCGGGACCATTTCCTCGAGTCTGAGGAGCCCAGGCCCCAGCGCTTGCTGTAGGCGGCCCGCCACGCGGTCGGATGGTCCCAAGGCAATGTGCCCGTGTGAGGTTCCACGGCTGGAAGCGGGTCCCAGGTCCCCCGGTGTCACGGGGAGGCGCCCTGCCAGCGCAGGAAGCACAGCGCGGGTTGGGGGGCGCACACCAGGGGCCGGTCCACCCCCACGGCACAGGAGAGGTCAGCGGGGCGGGCACACCGCGCCTGGCGAGGGCAGGGGTCGGAGCTCCCGCGGCTCGGTGAGGCGGGCGCTGTGGGAGCCCCTCGGCCGCCTCTGGGGGAAGGGGGCGGCCCCGCACACTGGAGCGCAGCGGCTGCTCGGCTGTCCTGCCCGCAGGGCCGCCCGGGGGTCCACCCTTGCCATCACGCTCAGTCACTAAGTGTCGTGCCGCCCGAGAACCAAGGCAGGGGGTCTAGATCTGTTCCTGGGAGGCGGCTCCTGAGCTGGGGCAAGTGGGCACCCGTCCGGCGGCTACCTGCACTGAAGAGACGAGACGAAGCCGCACAGCTCCTTGCGCCAGCAGGGCCCAGCTGGCCTCCCTGCGGCCGCCGCCCACCCCCTGCCCCGCATGGCTTCCTGGGCTCAGCAGCCCGCCCCGCCTGGGAGCCCCGTTCTGGGGGTGCCCACTTGGCGGCCACGGCGGGGCCGGCCGGGGGCGAGGCCTCCTTGGGGCAGGCCCCGCTGCCACGGGCACCCCCCAGCCCCACACCTGGAGGCCCTCTCTGTGCCGCAGGCCCGTCGGCCCCCGTGCCGCCCACACCGGCACCTCAGGCGTCTCCTCTCCAAGGCCAAGGGCCCCGGGCAGACGCCCGAGACCCACGAGCATGGGGCTGAGATGTGAGCCCCAGCCCCAGGTCCCCCAAGAGCCTCACCCCCGGCCCAGAGGGTCGGCGAGGGCGCCCTGCCGCGGCCGGCGCCCGGCCCCCGGAGCCCACTTTACGGCTCACACGGCTCCGGGGCAGCAGGCCTCCCCGCACCGCAGGCGGCGGGCCCTCACCGCTGCTGGTCGCCCCAACGCCTGCGCAGGTCCCCGCATGGGCCACAGGGAGCGGGGGTGGGGGGACCGGGCCCAGGAGCACAAGGCCGCCCCCGGCCTGGCGTCTCCCGTTTCCGGACTGCCCGGCCCTTCCGTGCTGGCCTCTGGCTGCGTCCGGGCCGCAGCGCGGGCACTGGGTCTGGGCCCTGCCCCGCTTGCCAGCAGGCCTCCCCGCTCGTGACCCGACGGCCTCGGCCTTGCTGGAGGGGGATGCAGCTCCCTGGAGCGTGGGGCTGGGAGGGCCGCCCTGGCAGGCAGCGGCCGTGCTGGGTGGCAGGGCGGGTGTCCGGCAGGCGTGGCCCAGCTGCCCCCCGTGGACGCCCCTGCCCACCCAGTGTCCTGCTGGCGCCCACCTGGCAGCCTAGGGGGCAGGCGTGTGCACCTCCACTGGCTGAGGGGAGCGCAGGGAGGAGGGAGGCGAGGGTCTGTCTGAGCAGCCCCAGCTCCCATCAGGCCAGACCCACTGTGTCCACCATCCTCTTGTCTGCGGAGACAGGCGGCGCCAAGGACCCGGGAGGAGGTAGGAGGCCGAGGGGCGCGCGGGCTGTGCAGCCCCCTTCACGGTGTCAGCCAGGACCCGCAGCTCCCCGGGGCAGGGCGCCCACACTGCCGAGCGAGGGCCCGGAGAGGCAGCGGCAAGGACCCTGCGAACGTCCGGCCGGGGCCGCGTCGCGTACGTGAGCTGCCCACGGGGGCCGCGCTGTGTCCTCGCCTGGTGGGGACCCCTCCCCGCAGCCAGGCCTAACTCCCGAGCCCACCCCCGCCAGGCGGGCTGCGGCGGTGGCTGGGGCCGGGGCCGTCTGCGTGGTGCTGCGCCAGGGGTGCCTTCCCAGGGACAGGAGACCGCCACCCGGCTCGTCTGTGTCAGGAGTGCCAGCAGCCGGTCACCTCTGAGGCTGCTGCGGGGACGCCCCATCTCACAGACAGGCCTGCTGCAGAGCAGGGTTCCAGGCTCTTCGGGGACTTCGGGGAGGTGGGGTGGGGACTCCCGGCACAGAGTGTGGGCGGGGCCGCAGGCCAGGGGGCCGGGTCAGGCGGCCGGCCGTGCAGGTGCAGGTGCGGGCGGTGAAGCCCGGGGGCGGCTGCGGGCTCCCATCACCCGGGGAGACACACCCCCTTCCCCGGGGGGAGCGAGAAGATCCCCGAGGGGGAGCATGTGCACCTCCAGGCCTTGGCCTTGCAGAGGCCCCGTGACGGCCAACCCGTCCCCAGACTGAGGCTGCTCCCCTCAGCCAGGCCTCCCGGCGACCCCCTGGAAACGGAGGCACCTGGGCCTGGACGAGCTGCCTCCTCCTTCAGGCTGCCCCACCCCCGCCTGGGCCAGGGGTCCCTGGAGGGGACCTCAGCTTGGGGGACCCTGGTGCCAGCCTGCAGCACCCATGTCCCCGGGGCTCCCTCGGGCTGCTCCCAACAAGTCAGCTGGCTAGGCCCGCCCTCTGAGCCACCCCGGGGGGGCGGGAGGAGCCAATGCCCCTCTGCCCTGCCCGGCAGTGTGGGGCCCCCAGGGCCCGATGCACGCGGGCAGGTGGGGGGCAGGGCAGAGGCTGCTGCAGGAGCGGGGCGGGCTCGGCGGCCAGCCCCTTGCCTTTCCCCAGGCCTCTGTCTCGGGCCTGCAGGCCCCCCGGGGCCCCCGGGGCCAGCGTGCGTTCATGGGGCTGGCGGCACGGCGACAGCGAGGGCAGCCGAGGACACACAGGACGGAACCTTTATTGCTCACTGTGAAATGCCTGCCAGGGCGGCCTGGCCGGCGGCCCCTTCTCCAGGCCGGAGCCTGGGGCTTGCCGGGGGGCACGTTAATGGCCACTGCCCTCCCCGCGGCGTGGATGGGCCTGGGGTGAGCCCTGCCCGGGACCCCTCAGGGCGGGGGTGGGGAGCGTGTCCTGGGTGCGAGCCGAGGGCCCAAGGGCGAGGAGGGGAGGGGTGCAGAGGGCCCGGCCGGGTGGGGGCCAGCTCGCAGGAGAGGGCGAGGCCCCGGGCCCTCACACACAGGGAGGGCAGGGAGGACGGAGAGCCAGGCGGGCTGAGGGCTGGCTCTGCAGCCCCCAGGGGCAGCTTGGTGGCAGGCGGCCCCTCCTCTGGGGCAGCGGCAGGTGCAGGCGCGGCCTCCTCCCCGTCCGGGCCGCGGGCCGCGCCCAGGCCCTCACAGGCGGGGTTTGATGTGCAGGGGCTTCCCTGTGCCGAGGAGGAGGGGGGTCAGGAGGGGGGCGGCACCGGCAAGAGGGGTGCCCCTCCTCCATCGGCCCAGGCCTGCACACTGGGGGCTGCTGAAATCGGGGGCAGTGGCTGTGGGCAGGCCGCCCTGGGGCCCAGCCGTCCGGCAGGGCGCAGGGCGCAGGGCTTGGGGCTGGGTGGGCCCGGGGTGGCGGGTGGGCGTGGGGTGGGGGGGGCCGCGGCGGCATCTGCAGGCTGAGCGGACGGGCTGCACCCGGACCCGGCACTGCTCGCCCCCAGGACTCCGTCCAGGACGAGGTCGCCAGCCGCACACGGGGCGGCTACCCAGCTCCTTCGAGGGAAGAGCCAGGGTGTGTGCGAGCGACTGGCCGCATAGGGACAGGAACCAGCGAGGTCCCCGCACAGGGAGACAGGGCGGCCGCGGGCAGTCGGCAGCCAGGGGCCGGAGGACGGACGGCCACGTCCCGGGGCCCCGCCCACCGTGCTCCACACTCACGGGGCGCCGCTGCCTGTCCCTTCCCGTGAAGCCACTTCACAGGCCGGGCTCCTGTGGACCAGACGCCTCTGTGCAGCTGCCCACCGACGGGGCACTGTCCACATGCCCCTGCAGGCCTACCTCTCCTGGGGAGCCCCTTCAGGGGGAGGACCCCAGCCACCTGCTTGGCTGGGCTAGGTCCAGAAGCCAGGCCCAGGTGGCAGGGACCCCAGGCCTGTGGCCTTGGCCACCACTGGGTGGCAGCCTGGGCAGGCGCAGCCCAGCCCGCTGCCCTGGGGCCCTCCCCGGCCCACGCCGCCCGCCCCTCCAGCTCCAGGCCCTGGCCAGGCGGGGCGTGGCCCAAGCCGCCTCCTGGGGCCTCAGCAGCCCTGCCCGCCTCCCGAGTCTGGGGGTCAGCTGCTGGGTTCCCAATCTCACGAGAAAGAAGTGGCTGCCTCAGGACCCTCGCCTGCCTTCTCCCACCCCAGTGAGCCGCACCCCGACGGAGAGCTGGTGCCCTGGCCTGGGGGGCAGGTGGAGGGCCAGGCCCAGCTGTGCGCCCCTGTAGGGGGGCCGGGGTGGGCGGCGGGGGCGGGCCCCCCTCCGTGGCCAGCGTTTGAGCGCGCTCCGCGGAGCTGTTCGAGGCGGCTGTGGCAAGCATCTTCCATTAACGTTATGACCGTGAAATATGACAATAAAATGATGGCCGTATGGTCACAAATTTGCAGCCCGCCGAGCTGCGTGGGGTTTATCGTCACTCAAACGCGCGGAGAGCTGTAAAATGTTTACAGAAAGGGTCGTTTGCGGCCATAAAACCCTCTTTTCTCTCCTAAACGAGGCTGAGTGGGGCCATTTACCAAGCCCTGAACGCTCGTCGGGGAGAAGGAGCATCTGTTCTCTCCAGGAGCGCGCGCCGATCTTCCAGAACAAATTAACAGAAATGGGTGCTTTCTAATTAAATCAGCCCTCGGCGGGGGCGGTCTGTGCACGGACGCCGCTGCGCTCGCACCTCGGCGCCCGCCCCACAGCGGCAGGTGCACACGCCGGGGTTTTCCGGAAGCATCTGGCCACGCCTGGAGACTCTGACTTGGGGGGTCTGAGGTGGGCCCTGAAAGGCACCCTGGCCGTGCTGGGCTCTGGGGGCCAGCTACCTACCTGAGTCCTTGGTGGGGGGGCTTTGGGGGGCGGGGGCCCTGGGCCGGCCGCCCGGGCTTGGCGAGGACTGCAGGGAGATGAAGGAAGGCAGCTTGGAGAGGTTGCCGGAGCGGGTCCCCGTGGGGGCGGCCTCCTCCTGGGGAGAGGGCTCCTCCTGCTCTAGGGAAAGAAAGGGAGAGGCCACGGAGGGCGGGGAGGGGGAAGAGGAGCAGGAGGGGGAGGAGGGGGCCTTCGATGACAAGGGACAGGCTGAAGCCGAGGCTGACACCCCTGTGGGGGAGAGGGGAAGGACCAGGCTAGCGGCCACAGACGCGGGGGAGCTGGGCACCGATCTGGCGGGGCGCTGGGCAGCCGAGGACTTCCTGCGGGAGAGAGGGCGGGGTGGCAGCGTGAGGCGGACAGCTGCCCGCAGGGCGGGGGCCCGGGGCGCTGGCCCCGCCCCGCGAGGCGCCTGACCCCGTGGCCGGGCTCTTGGCCCCTCCCCACCCACGCCTTCCTGCCCCAGCAGCCACCAGGCATCACCATCCAGGGTCAGGGCCAGCGCCAACCCTCGGGGCCCAAGGGCAGGCTGGTGACATCATGGGGCTGGCGGGCCTGGCACCACGCTGGCCCTGTCCGCACCTTCCAGAGCGGCCCCCCCGTCCACCCGCGGGGCAGGTGAGCGCGGCACGGGGCCCCCAGCTGCGCTCGCTGCCCGGGATGCCACCCTGCCCTGCCCGGACAGTGGGAGCGAGGGGCCGAGGAGCCCCCGCCTTCCTCCCAGGGGCAGGGCTGCGTAGCCCCACACGAGCTGGTCTGGGCCAGGGCCGCCCTTGGCTCTGTCCCGCCTGGGATCTGGGCCGGGGCAACTCTGGAAGCCACTTGATCCCCACCTTTGGACTGGGGCTTTTTGGGTCTGAAGCCAGAAGAGCTGGGTGGGGTGCAGGGGCTCCCAGGAGGCCCCGAATGTCCCGGGAGCGGGAGGACTGCTTCCGGACCCCCGCCGGGTGCACACGCGGCCCTGTCCCCACTCACCTGGGCCCGTGGCCGCCAGGGGCCCTGCTCCGGGAAGGCGTGTCGCTGGGCTCTGGGGCTGGGGGCGCAGCCGCCCGGCGGCCGAGGCGCTTTCGGTTGCGGTGGAGCAGCTGGCACTGGGCGCCCCGGGGGCAGGAGCCGCTGCGGGAGAAGTCGGGGCACAGCAGCGTGTGCTTCTTCTTGCACTGGGGGGAGAGGGGGCGCCACTGGGCGAGGCTGCACACAGGGTGGGGCGACCGCCTGCGCGGCCGCGGCCGGGGCCCGGGGCCCAGGGCCCAGGCTTCCCGCCGGCTGCGCACGCACCCGAGTAGCCCCAGGGGCAGGGACAGGGGCAGGGCAGCACCTCGCTGGGGCTGAGGGCAGGCCGGGCAGGACTGGGGGTCCCGCCAGGCTGGGCGGGGGTTCCCAAGGCGTTAACCTTTCCTCCTGACCACAGCTCGCCCGTCCTGGGGGAAGGCGGGGTGGGATGGGATGGGAGAGGCGGGACTAGGGAGCCCGAGGCCTGGGGGGACCCCACTGGGCGGGGTTCAGGCTTCGAGCCCAGGGCTGCGCAGGTCGGCCCAGGCCACCACGCGCCCGACCCACCACACCTGTCGCTGCGGCTAATTATACCCCGGGCCCCGGGCTACACCCGGGGGCAGGTGCTGGGGGCGCAGCTGCAGCGCTTGTGCTCCGGCCCCCGTGGCAGCAGCAGGCCCTGCCGTGCGCCCCTTCTGCCGAGGGCTGTCCTGCGCCCCCGCCCCCTGCGGCTGGCCTGGCCGGCAGGACCGGGGGATGGGCCACAGTGCTGGAGCCTGGGCGCCCTGACCGCCCTCACGTGGGACTGGGCGACGGGCGGCTGGGCACGTGCTGGAGAGGCCGAGACCGGGGCCCGCCGGCCCGGCAGCGCCTGTGGGGCGCGCCCGCTCATCTGGGAGCCGGCGCCAGACCCCGCGCACCGTCCTCCAGTTCGGAACCTCCCTCCTGGTCTCGTCCCTGCACGAAGGCGCCAGCCTCTGGCAGGGCCGCAGGGAGTGCGCCCCGTCCCCTGGGTGGGGCCTGTGCACGGGCCCATTCTTGTCACCTGGTCCCCACCACTGCCGGGGGACCAGAGGCCCGGCAGGGAGCCTGGAGGCAGGCGGGGCTGGGGGGCCCTGGGCCCCGCCCCGGCCCTCACTCCCCCCCACCCCCTGTACTGCACTGGGCCAGGGCGGGGACAGTGTGGCAGGCCCCAGGCATGGGGCGGGGCAGCCGCGGCCCCTCCAGCAGGGGCGGGCCTTCTGGGAAAGCAGGGCGCCCGGGCAGGTAGGTGCAGGCAGAGTCGCTGTCCGCGCCGCATAGAATTCACGGCACCCATTTATTTTTTGTGTTTTTCCTCCCTAAAGGTGACTGCTAGGAAATTTTAAATCTCACATGCGGTTCCGGCTGGCCGGCCTTCCCCCTGGCCCGTGCTGGTCTGAACCAGCCCTCTGCCTGAGAACAACCAAACATGCCAGGTCGAACGTGAAGAATCTGCTGACATCATCCCAGCGCTGCGAGGACAGTCTAACGGCAGCAGATAACGTGCTCAGGAGAGACGGCGGCCTGAGTTCCAGAGGCCTGAGCGCTTCCTCTAGACCAGGTGCAAGGACGGAAAGGCAGAACCAAACTGGACACCCCAGAAACCCCAGCCAAAGGGCTGGGAATTGAGGCCACTGGTAAACAATTTGTGAAAATTCGGTAACAATTAGAGCCAAGTGAGGACAGCAGGCCACTTTATCGACATCTACGGGTGCATCCAGCGCAGCTCTTAGATTAGCGAAGAGTGTCCCCCTCAAAGTGAGGGGCAGAGACAGCAAGAGAAAGCAGAGGGAAGAAAATGAAGCCGCCAACAGAAATTAAGACAAAGACAAAATCACAACGAAGCCAGGAGACCAAAGGCTGGTTCTCTGACGACATTAATAAACCTGCCCCGTGAGAGGAGTCAGGAGGCGGGGCAGGCGCGGGCCCCAGGAGGACAGCAGCCCGGGGCCACGGCCGCTCCGTGGCGCGCAGGTGCCGGCAGCACATCCCAGGACAGCTGACAGGAGGGAAAGGCAAGGCTGGGCGGGTGCCCCTGCAGCCGCAGCAAAGTTGCAGTTGGGACGGGCAGGCCGAGGGCGCTCGGGCCCAGTCCCTGCCGCCGCCACTAACCTCGTGTGCTCCATGGGTGGTGGGGCCCCCAGCTTGCTGAGCTTATGGGGCCAGAACAATCTTGAAACCAAAACCTGAGCAGAACCAGGAGACCAACGAGCACTGGGCCACCTCCGCTGATGACCAAGGACTCCGGCCCCCCCAGAACGCAAACACACTGGCCCCACGGGGCTGCTCCACGCCCTCAGCGGGCCGCCCTGGCCGAGGCCCGCCTCGTCTGTCCCTTCAGCCATTCGTCCCGATGCCGGAACGCGAACGCCCTGGGGTCTCCCAGCCCCCACGATGGAGCCGCGGGAGCCGCGGGCAGAGCCCCAGCCCGGACCAAGGCCGTGGCGGCGAGCCAGCCCCGGGGACCTGCAGCGGCAGGCCGGCCGACGTGTCGGGGCTCTGCGCGGGTGCTGCGCGCTTTCTGCAAATCCACCGTGACCGCAAAAGGACACGTTCACTGAACACCAGGACTGAAGAGCTGTCTCTGTGCGGGGCCCCGGGTCCGGGTGCTGGCCGGGCTCTCCCTCAGGGCGCCGGGCGTGCGACAGGCGCTGGTCGCGAGGGCAGTGTCGCGAGGATCCGGAAGGGACAGGCAGAGGGCAAGACTCTGGCGAGGCCGCCCGGAGGGAGAGCGGGGAAACGCACGTGAAACACTGACGGAGGCGGCCGCCAGGCCTCGGCGCCTGCCGCAGGCACGGCTGGGCCCCAGCACACGGCCGGGCGGGGCTGCCCAGGGCCCTTGAGCCGCTCTCATTCAGCAAAGTGCCGCTGGAAGTGCCGGCACAGCGACTAGGCAAAAATAAGTAAATGACAATAAAATAACAGACATCCCAATAAAAAGGGAAAGCAATGATCTGTTAACACATGAAGAACCACAACACAAGTCTCAGGGCTGCCCTGACCTGTGCAGCTCAGCGGGCTGGGCGCCGTCCCGCAAAGCGAAAGGTCGCAATGGGGTGCCCGGTCAGGGCACGCGCCGGGCGTGCGGGTGTGGCCCCAGCCGGGGCGCACATGAGAGCTCACCGGTCGGTCTCTCTCTCACATCGGTGCTTCTCTCCCCCTTTCTCTATTCCTTCCCTTCTCTCTTCAAAAGAGTAAATAAAACCGTTTTAAAAAATTGTTAGAGCTAATAAATAAATTCAGCAAAATCCCAGGATATAAAATCAACACAGAAAAACAACTGCATTATTATACATTCGCAATGAACAACCTGAAGAGCTTTAAAACTCTCATTTACAACACTGAGGAACACATTTAACCAGGGAGGCAAAAGACTTGCACAAAAGGCCGCCGAGAGCAGGGAGGCACCCACACAAACGGGGACGCGCTGCCTGGTCATGGGCCGGAGGACAGTGCCCCGAGCGGCCTCCAGGCTCAGAGTGGCCGCGGTCCCAGTCCTGGGGTCTTTAAAAAACAGAGGCAGAAAAACCCATCCAAAAACATTTGCAGGGAATCTCTTGGAAAAGAACAAAGTTTGAAGGGTTGACATTTCCTGATTTCTTTCTTTTCTTTGTTTTTTTTCTTAAGATTTTACTTACTTACTTTTGGAGCGATGGGGGGGAGGGAGGGAGACACCGATGCGCAAGGGAAACACAGGTCAGCTGCTGCTCGCCCCCCGCCCCCCAGCGACCTGGCCGCAGCCCAGGCACATGCCCTGACTGGGAACCCAACCAGCGACCTTTTGGTTTTCGGGACAACGCCCAACCCATGAAGCCACACTGGTCAGGGTGCATTTCCTGATCTCGGAACTTACGACGAAACTGTAGCAATAAACACTAGGATGAGGACACACAGAGGAAACAGGAGAACCCAGAAACAAGCCCTCGCAAAGGTTGGTGGACTCTGGACGAGGCGCCTGGGCAGTCGATGGGGAAGAGCAGCCGTGCAGCCAACGGCACTGGGAGAGCGGGGCGTCCGCCTCCAGGAGACTGAGGTTGGGCTCCTGCCTGACACCACATACAAAAACCAACTCACAAGGACCAAAGGCTTACACGTTAGAGCTCCAACTACCAAACCCTAACAGGGAAGACAGGGGAAAAGCTTCGTGGCAAGGAGCTGGACAACGGCTCCCGGGCGTGGCACCAGAGGCACAGGCAGCCGTGCCAATGGGCAAGCTGGGCGCCCGGGGCGCTGGCCAGAGTGGGGCGGCCACGTCCAGAAGGGGAGCGGACACCCGCAAGCCGCATCTCTGGTGAAGCGTCCACCTCCAGAGCACGACAACTTCCAATTCAAAAGCAGGCAAAGCACCTGAAGAGAGAGACCCTTCTCCCAGACGCCACACCAACGGCAAAGCAGCACGTGCGCAGACGCTCAGCGTCGCTGGGTCAGGAGAGCACAAGCCAGAGCGGCCCGAGCGCACCGCGAGGGCGCTGGGGGCGGAGGAAGCCCCTCGCCTCGGCCGTGGGCTGGCTCGGCCGTGGGCTGGCTGGACGACAGTCGCTGGGCGAGCGGTGGGCGGACCCTCGGCAGGGCGTGCCCTCCGTGCGAGCCGGGAAGGCCAAGGGAGGTGCCCGGGGAGGCTGGGGAGCAGCAGTGCAGTCCGCAGAGGCCGTGCACGGGCGCTCACAGCGGGGTGCCTGGGCAGCCCCCGGAGAACAGGCTGCAGGCCCACCGCTGGGGGGAAGGCCCCCCCGACACGCACAAGAGGGGCGCAGCCCTGAGGCCGCAGCAGGGCACCTTCCCAGAGGTGCTGAGTCAGACATGCCAGACATGCAAGTCCGTGCTGCAGGAACCAGCCTAGGAAACGCCCAGAGTGGACCACGGAGTGCAGGCCGGAGGCAGCTGGTGCCGCGAGGATCCTGGTGGTGGCTGCCCGGCTCTGTGCATTCACTGATCACCACTGAGCCGTGACCCTGCACTGGACAGACTGGAGGACCTGTCACCTGCACCTCAATAAAGCGGCTTTAAAAAATCTGCTCAGCCCTGGCTGGTGCGGCTCGGTGGACTGAGTGTCGGCCTGTGAACCAAAGGGTCATTGGTTCAATTCCCAATCAGGGCACAGGCCTGGGGTGCGGGCCAGGTCCCCAGTGGGGGGCGCACACGAGGCAACCACACACTGATGTGCCTCTCCCTCTTTCTCCAGCCCTTCCCCTCTCTCTAAAAACAAAAATAAGATATTTAAAAAAAATCAGCAGAAATCAGAGAGGAAAGAATGGGCAGTTTGTAGGCAGCATGGGGGAAAGGGCTCGCTCTATGAGGAAGCCGAGTGCGGCCCTAGCCTGGAAGGCAGCCAACGCAAAGGTGCCGACCCCCGCACGGCCGGTGGTCCAGAGGGGCTCATGGCTTCAAGGAGCAGGGATGGGGTGGGCCTGGGGTCTGGGCCACCTCCGCTTGGCCTGGAAAGCCATGCTGGACACGGTGAGGAGGGTCCCTGTGGCCTCAGATCCTGGAACAAAGATCCACAGAGTGAAAAATGGAAGGACTTTGCCCCTAAAACCAAGAAGGATCAGGCCTAAGGGCAAAGTTCCCAGGTGGTCACAGACAGGGAAATGCTCCCTGTGGTTCCGAGGGCAGGGAATGGCACGCAGAGGCCACGGCAGGAGAGGCAGGGGGCAGACTGGCCACGAGAGCAGTGGGCCACCCCACGAGCCACGCAGATGCAAGGGCCTGAGACTGAGGATGTCGGGGCAGGCAGCAGCAAGGAGAGGGCAGACCCGCAGTCCACGGCGGGGACACCGGTGTGGCCCCCGGGGCTCCTCCAGGCTGAGCTGGCTGTGGGGCACGCCAGGCCTGCCCCCGGCTCCGCCCCGGCTCCGCCCCTGCAGGGTAGGGAGCCTGCCCGGCCCAGGGGCCCAGGGCTCTGCAGGCAACAGGCAGGGGAAGAAGCAGGGCGGGGGGGGGGGCAGCCTGGGGCAGGGCCGGGGCCCGCGGGCTGCCGATAGGGGCAAGGCCCCACGCGCCTCCATGTGGACAGGGACAGGGACAGTAAAGGGCAGCCCCCGCCAGGTCCGGGCAGGTGCAAACCCGTCCTGGGGAGGCGGGGCGGGGGCTCTTCCTCAGGGTGCCGCCAGCAGACGCAGAAGGGACGACGGCATCAGGGTGCCCAGGACAAACACAGTGGCCCTCGGACCAGCTGGTGAGGGTGGTCTCCCACGGCCTCTCCCGAGCGCACCGCGCAGGAAGCAGGCGTCAGGCGGCAGGGGAGCCCTGGCCTCAGGGCGTCTGCGAGGAGAAGGCGCCCTCGCTGGGTGTCAGGCCCCAGGTGAGGAGGTGAAGGGCTTCCCACCCCAGGAGGCACCCTCCTGAGAGCCCGGGGGCACAGGGCTGGGAAGGGAGCAGGTTCTCTCCCGCCGGCATTATTCACAGGAACGGCCGCCTCTTTACCAAGCCGTCGCTTCAGGCGGCGAGGTTAACAATCCCACTCGATTCAGTGGGGTATCATAAACTCTCTGGGGCCCGTTCGAGGACCTGTACTCCAGGCGCGAGGTGCCCACTCAGCACTTTCTATATTATTTAGAGAATCAAGTTAACCCTCCCGGGCCCGGGCCGCCGCCCGCCCGCTGCTCCGCAGGCTCAGCGCTTTCCCACAGATAATTACGAGCCGCTATCCATCATGTGGCGGCCACGCAGCGCCCACACGCTGAAAGGGGCTCCGTAAGCACTTCCACTAATAGGAGCGGAACTTAAATACAGCTTTGATATTTCACTTAAACTGTACTATTTTACAATGATCATCCACGTCCTCTGTGCAGACCCCTCCTGCCCCCTGCCCCCTTGGCCCGAGCGTCCTTCAAGGCAACTGGTCCACTCCCGTGGGGTCCCCAGGTCGTGGCCTGGCGGCAGGGGGCCCACCGGCTGCGGAGGGCTGTGCCCGCGGCGGGGGGGCGAGGGCCCGCCCTGCACTGGCGCACACGCCTGCGACCAACGCCCAGCCCTGCGTCCTGGGCACCTGCGGTCGAGCCCCCGTGGCCCCCACTCCTCTGGGAGCCCCTGACCCAGACCGCAGGCCCCTGAGCAGGTGATGAGGCTGCCTCTTAGCATCCGGGGACTAAAGAGGTCCGTGCAGAGGTGCCCGGACCAGGGCCACCTGTGTCCACAGCTCCGCCACCCCGCAGGCCTGAGTGCGGACGGGGAGGGGAGACGGGGCCTCATCACGGAGCACGGAGCCGGCCTGCCCGGCCGCCCGCAGCCCACATGCGACCCTCGCCGCCCAGTTCACGTGCTCCCACCGCCCCCTCGGGGTGCACAGGCTCCAGGGGAGGCATCGAGAGCCCCCGGGCCCGAGGGCGCCACGGGGCCCGGCCCTCACCTTGGCGCCCAGCGGGCAGTAGCCCTTGAGGAAGTCGGCGCAGACCTCTGCCTTCCGGGACACGTAGACGTGGCTGTAGGGGCAGCTGCTGTTGCTGCAGATCCCCTTCAGGAAGTAGGAGCACACGGGCATCTGCCGGGGACATGGGGGGGGAGAATGGGGCGGGGGGGGCGGTGAGGGCCAGCAGGGCCCGCAGACGCCCCCGCCCCCGCCGCAGGTGAGAACACCGGACGTGGAGGCCTGCCCAGCGCCCCCGGACTCCGGCCGGACACCCTCGCCGGCGCCCTGCCCTGAAGCGGAACAGACCCGCGGTGCTGGCCCGCGGAGGGGAGCCCGGCAGGAGCTGAGGGCGCCTGGGGTGGGGCCAGGTGAGGGGCGCCCATATGATGGGACGTGGGGCCAGGGCAGGCGCTGGCCCTGCAAAGTGGCTCCGGCCCCGACGCGTGGCCACCTGGGTCCCTCCACTGTTCCGTGTCCGGGCTGCGGGGACACACGGGAGGGGCGGGCTCTCCAGCGGCCTGATGCGTGGGCTCCGTGGTGTCCGGGGCTGGGGGGCCGCCCCGCCCGCAGGGACTCAGGGGGTCAGGTGTGGCCCGGGCGCCGCCGAGGCCTGTGGAGGCCTGGCCGGGGGTCCAGCGCCTGCGCCCTGGCCTGTGGGCAGGTGGCCCGGGGAGACCTGGTGGGGGCCACGGAGCAGGCAGCCTGGCAAGGCCGTGTGGCCCCTGCAGCCCCGGACGGGATGGGGACGTGCGGCCCACCTCCGTCTCCGACCCCCCACTGTCTCCGACCCCCCACCCGGGCCTCTGCAGCCGCCGTTTTTCCAGGCGACTTCTCTCAGGGGGCCCTTGGGCGGCCCAGTGCCTGGCAGGGAATGTCACCGCCAACGCCCATGCGGGGCCCCCCTGCGGGCCTCGGACCTCCTGGGGCCCCTGTGGTGGGGGGGGCTCGCCCTCCTCCCCACTCCTCGGGGGGTCAGCTCCCCCCAGGCCGTACCCACTAGCCTCCCTGAAGCTCCCCCGCAGGCACTTCTGGGGGGCAGGGGGGTGAGGATGAGGAGGGGGAGGGAAGGAGCAGAGAAACAAAGGGCGATTTACGTGCCTGCGTGTGAGTTTAGTTTTAATTGCCTTTTAACTGCAGCACCGAGCGGAGCGGGGCCTGCGTGGGGCTGGCGGGTGTGAGGTTGCAGACAATCCCCTTAATGTGGCTTTTGATCTAGAGCCCGAATTAGCTCTAATAAAAAGGATAATAAAGCCAACTCTACACCAAACGGAACCCCCGCTTGCTGTCAGCAGGGCCGTTATCCCGAGGAAACTGCGTTCTCATTTCCATTAACCTTGTTTGCACCCACCACGTCCACACAAATAACAATAACATTAATTCCGGGGGCTCGTGCCGCGTCCGCATCAGACAGCCCGGAACGCACACCAGCCTCGGAGCCGGGAGCTAATGAACCCGAAGCCCGACGTGAATCTCCAAATGGCTCACGACAGAGTCTGGGAGCTCTATTAGGGAGAAAAATGCTGATTCTTTCCAAGCTCCTCAAGGGGAAACGCTGTGGCGGCAGCATCGCCCCCGCCCGGTCCCACCTCCCGAACTGCGCCGCAGCCCCGGCTCCGCACGTCCCCAGGGCCCCCAGCCCTGCACTGGCGCTGTCCCCTGCAGGGGTCCGCACGATGAGGTCTGCTCCCTCTGGCCCAAGGTGCGGGGGGGCCCGGGGCTGAGGAGCCTCCAGCCTCCCGCACCCCCATGTCGCAAGCTGCTCCGCGCCGACCCGGGGGCTGCGCCTGTGTGGCCAGGGCGCCCGGGGCCGCTGGCCTGACACGGGGTGGGGCGGGGCCTCCGAGCGGCTCGCGGACGCCCTCCAGGTCGGCGGTGGGCGAGGGGGGGGGGGCAGCCCAGCCAAACGGCTCCTGCGTGGCCCCGCACCCAGCTCCTCACAGACACCAGGGGACAGGGGTCTGCATGCCCGAGCCCAGGGAAGACTTCAGGGCACCGCCTGCCAGGAACACGCTCGCCACGCTGGTGCTCACCTTCTCCTTGGAGACCTGGTGGGAGAAGGGGCAGGTCCCATCCGTCTTCTTGCATGTGCCCCGGACAAACCTGTGCCAGAGGTGGAGTGGGCTTGAGGGCCCTGCCGAGACCAGCCCAGAACCCTCACAGGCCCCCTGCCGGCCCCACCCTGAGATGGCCCCAGGGCGGTCACCTGGTGCACACGGCCACCTTCTCGGGGTCGTGGATGTAGGGGCAGTGCTCGCCGCGGTTGCATCTGCCGAAGCGGTTGTAGTACATGCAGTACTCCTGGCCCGTCCGGCGCTGCCTCTGCCGGGCCTGCCGCACGATGGCCAGGCTGCGCTGCACGGCCCGGCTGTGGACAGCAAGGTGGGAGGTGAGACTGAGGGTGCGCTGGGACCCCCCTCCCGCACAACCCCGGGACGCACCTGGCCAGCGAGCGGCTGCAGCTGCTAGCAGGGTCTGGCCGACCTGTGGGGAGAGCGCCTGGGTCAGGCGGGGCCACCGCCCTGAGCTCCGCCCGCGGGCCTGTTTGGCGCAGGCCCCGGGGGTCCCTGTCCACCCTCCCCTCGGGGACACACGCGGAGGGGGGTGCTGTGGGCCACTCACGGCCCGGCCCTGCGCAAGGGAGCTGCCGAGGTGTGGCGCAGGGACAAGGGCTCTCCCAGGGCCACAGTGGTTGCTGGCCCGTGGGTGCACCGGGGGGGACGGCAGCCCCAGGAGCTGGGTGACGGGGCCTCCCCGGCCGCCCCCTCTGCCTGGAGCAGAGCCCGGGGTAGGTGACCTGCGGGTCTTGGAGACGCCACTCGGCTCTGCTGTGGCCGGGACGGTCTTTATGTGCTTTAACTGTTGTAGAGCCAAGACAAACAACAGGAGCGCAGCACGCAGCCACAAAGCGCGGCCTCCTCCGCCTGGGCTGCCCGGGGGACTAGGCCCGCCGTTGCTGCGGAGGCCCCAGTGGGCCCGGCCGGCAGGTCCCCGCTCCTCGAGACCGCGGGGCGCCTTGGAGATCACCCCTCAAAGCCTCGAGCACAGAGACCAAGCAAGGCTCCTCTGAGGTCACTGAGCGTGGCCCGTGAGAAGCTGCTCACACAGCGGCGGGCGGTGGCAGGACGAGGGCGGCTGGGGCCGAGGGGCCGGGGCGCGAGGGGCCGCTGCACAGGTGCGCGCCGGCCCTGCAGGAGGAAGGGCCGCAGTGACACACGGCCCCGCCTGCCGTTTAGACACGAGGTCACCCCCTTGACCAAGGAGGGCAGGGCAGGGCAGGGCAAGAGCCTCCTCCGGGTGGCCACCAAGTTCCCAGTTTCCCCCCCACACACACCCACCCCACCCCCCCTTCCCAGGCCAGATCCAATTTCCTGCAGGCAACTGCTGAAATGGATCTGGTGGCAGGAGGCAGAAGTGACATCACTCAGAAATTCTGGGGACCGGAGGCGATGACAAAGCATCCAGGCTCTAAAGGGCCGTCCCCAGCTGGCTGGCCCTGAGCTGCCCCGTCGGAGCCGCGGGGGGGCCTGGGCGGGCGCCCCCTGCCACCCGCAGGATCCCCGCCTCGCCCTCCCTGGGCGGCCTCTCCCAGGACCCATCGCCTCCATCCAGCTCACGGACCGAGGCCCAGTCACACCGGCTCTGACATGCCACGCGGCCTGTCCAAACCCAAACCGCCGTGCCCCCACAGGCTGGACCGCAGACGCCCCTTCCCCACGTGCCACCTGCCACCAAGCCTTGACTGCACCCTGGGTGCTCCGCGTGCCCCTGGGCCCGGCCCCCCACTGCCTGCTGCAGCCCCTCCTGCGGAGCACTCCCCTCCCGAGCCCCGCCCCCAAGTTTAAAAAGGGCGCCTCCAGGCTGGACAGTAGGACCCCCGTAGGAGGGGGGCTCCGAGAGGCGGCCACACTGGCCGCGGAGCAGGGGGCTGCGGTGTGAGGGAGGAGGTCACAGGGTGGCTCCAGGCCGCAGCACGGCCGGGACGCCAGTCCCGGGGGGCAGTGGGGCCGGCCCAGGTGGCACGTGGCTCCGCGCACCTGCCAGCCAGCGGGTGACAGAGTGCAATTTGATAGCTGTCGGCGATGGCGGATCCCGGGCTGCCACCCCGGCTGCCGTGACGCTGCGGCGCCATCTGCTCCTGCTGGGGACTGCTGTCATCACGCGTCCGCCTGGCAGACCGCGGCCCCCGGGCCCGGCCTCTGAGGGCGGGGCAGGCTCGCCCCCCTTTCCGCTCTGCTCTTAAAGAGGTGCCGGCGCGGGGCTCACGGGAGTCTCGCAGGAACAAGAGGCACCTTTTCAAACGCTGTGCAGTGTTAAAAAATGCACATAATGTCGCCGGCTGGAACACAGGCCGAGGGGGCTGAGAGGCGCTAAGAAGTTCAGCTGCAACCTGCACCCTGGGAGCAGGTGGCGCCGAGCCTCGGAGAGAACTTGCACTTCCCAGGGATCTTCCCAAAATAGCTGGGCAGTCGCAGCCGCAGCCCCACCCCCACTGCCAGCCCCAGCCCAGGCAGCCTCTTGCCTGACAGGCCCAGGGCCAGGGCCGGGGTAGCCCCCTTGGGGAGGAGACCAACACCCGGGGCTGGGCCCAGGGACAGACGGAGCCCCAGGAAGAGGCGGCTGGGAGGGAGGGAGGCAATGGGCGGGGCGGGGCGGGGCTGCAGAAGGCTGAGCAGCCTTCTGAGGGTGTGACCCCGCAGCAGCACAGACCGCCCGGGGCAGTGATGGGGCACGCGGTTCGTCCATTGCAGGGAGACACGGCCGGGACCACCTTGCTCTGGGGCCCTGGGCCCGCCCCGCAGCCTGGACGCACAGGGGACCGGCAGGCGGACCGGGGTTCCTGCTGCCGGCAGGGGCTGAGGGGCTCTGGGCCGTGGGGCCTGATGCACACGAGGCCCGGGGAGCGCCCACCAGAGCCCAGTGTGCCCAGGTCTCCAGTCAAAGCGTGAGGAGTGGGCACAGGGCTGGCTCTGCCCCTGTGCCCCCGGGAGGGAGGCGCGCCCTGAGGCTCTGACACCTGTCCCCTGAAACGCCTACAGGCTCCGCGGCCTCACCAGCGCCTGGGAAGTCCGTGCAGCCAGGAGGGGCAGGAGGGACAGGAGGAGGAGGGCGGTCCCAGGAGGCTGCCTTCCTTGCTGAAGCGGAAGCCCCCGGCACCAGGAAGATTTACTCCTTTAATTACTCTCCATAAGAGAGAGGCTGCGGGTCAGCGGACACAGCACCGGCGGGGGGCTCGCCCTCCTGGCAGCGAGGAGCAGGCCGCCCACGGGGAGGCCAGACACTGCTGGCAAGGTGGGCGGAGCCGGTGGGCTCTGCCCTGGCCTGTCCTGTCCTCTGGCCGGGCCCTGAGGTGGGGAGGGCTGAGCCCCAGGACTGCCCCTTTGAGGCCACCAGGGCTGGGCTGGTCGGCAGCTGTAGCTGCCACAGGCAGGTCCCAGGAAGAGGCCTCCCGGGACCTGCTGCCCCTACTCCACCCCCCTTCACTTTACCGTGTGAAGGCTGAACTTGGGAAGGAGGTTCAGGAGGTCGGTTCCAGAGCCCCGCTCTCGCAGGGCGGCATCTGCCCTGAGCACCGGCCCCACAGACCACGAGCGCCGGGCCCGCAGCCTTTGGGCTCTGGGGTCCGAGGCCACTGGAGCGGGGCCCGCGGCTGGTGGAGGGGCTGCCCTGGCCCAGCACAGCATCCCTGTGGGCCGACCCTTGAGTGGACCCCCGTGAGGAGGCTTGGTCAGCTCCCTGCACCTGCTCCTTCCCTGAGCAAAGGGGTGGGGATACTGAGGCACACAGGCAGGCAGAGCCATGGCCTCCCAGCACCGAGTACCCCTCCGTGGGGCCCGGGAGGCCGGGGAGGGGCTCAGGCAGCTTCTCCCTCCTGCTCCTGGGGTGCCATGGCGTGTGACTGGGGGTGCGCGGCCTCTGCAATCCCATGCGAGCCTGCGAGCCTGCCCTTTTATTGTGACACAAAAAGGGGGTAAAATTGGACTGAAACAAAAATATTTTTCTAGTCGATGCACGCAACAAGCAAGTCCAAAGCCTCTCCTCCCACGGAGCCAGCCTGTCCCCCCACCCCCCCGACACAGCAGGGAGGTGCCGCCAGCGAGATCCTGGGAGCCACCTGGGAGATCAAGGTGTTCACGCGCCTTGATAGCTGGGCGAGTGACGCCTCAAGGCCCTCACACGGTTCACCGCCCGTTTACCATGCCCAGTTCGTCCCCTTTGTCCCGGGGGCCGCTCAGTCAGGCGAGAGCCGCTGCCTGCCCGAGGGGCCTTCCCCCGGGACACAGAGGCCACAAGGCCTCCCCGTTGGGCCCCGCCTGCTCCACTGCCCTGGCCGGACGTCAGGGCAGCGACCCAGGCACTGTGGGCGCGGAAGCGTGAATGAGCGCCGGCCGGGGTGGCTGGCCGGGCAGTGCTCGCTCGGACGGGTGCCCAGAGCATCTTGGGAGTCCGGGCCAGGCCCCAGGGCCTCCGGGACCCACCACCAGGAAGTCTCACCTGAGCGCAGCAGGGGCCTGCTGCCTCCCTCGCCGCTAGGCCGGCCGTAGGTCTTGGAGAGCTTGTTGGCCGACACCTGGTAGAGCACCCCTCCGATGCAGCGGTAGCCCCTGTCCCGCCACCGAGGGGGGCTGGGCTGGGCTCTCCCCGCCCCGCAGGCACGGCGCAGGCGGCTCGGCACCAAGGACCTGCAGACACAGGGACATGCCAGTCAGCCCTGGCCCGGGGCCCCGGCAGGAGGCCTCTGTCCCCTGCCCCCGGGGCCCAGGAGGTGGCCCTCCCAGCCCCGCCACCCAGGCTGGGACGGCCTGAGCCCCCGAAGGGTCGCGGGGAAGGGACAAGCCCCTCCCCAACACGCACACCCCAGGAGGGGCCTGATGCCCCCACTCAGAGGCGCCGCTGAGGACACCGTGGACCCCCCACCGGATCGGCCACAGGCCCCCCAGCTCGGGACCAACAGCAGTCCTGACGCTGTCCTGGCTGAGCTGCTCCCCCTGGCTGTCACATGGGCAGGCTGCCACCAAGATGAGGGGACAGGGGGCATCCAGTGTGCCCAGGGAGCCTCGTGACTCCAGAGGGCATATAGGGCCGACCCCTCAAGACAAATTTCAGCAATAATTTGTTTATGCAAACTGCACTTAATTTCACATCAGCTCAGACTCTGCCCCTCACGCCATTACCGCTGAGCCCCTGGCCCCCACCGGCCAACCTGGGCCAAGGCGCACGCTGCCTCCACCTGAGGGCGGCAAGGTGAGGATGGGGGTCCAGGCCCTCCTAGGGCCTGTCTCAGTGCTCACGCTGGGGTCCCTACAAGTCTGCCTGTGGACCCCACTCCACCTTGGGCAGCAGGAAGCCCGCTCCCAGTCACCCGGGGCCGGGGGGCACCGCCGACGGGGTTCTGGCGTGTGCTGGGGGTGAGCAGGCCTCAAGGCACCCCAGCGCCCAGCAGCCCTGCGCCTGGGCCCGGCTGCCGACCCCCCCCCCGCAGCCCGCCCCCCACCCCCGGCCCTCCCCCTGCAAGCTGGGGGCGACTTGCCAGCCGCAGCCTCCAGGGGCCCGCTGGAGGGCTAGCATGCGCCAGGGAGCTGGCCCGGGAGCCCGGAGCTGCGGTGTAAGCGCAAACGCAGGCAGGAAGGGCAGGGAGCCCTCCCGCACGGAAGCACTTAACCCAGTTTCCTTTAATTAAAATCCAAGTTCACAAACCCCGACCTTGGAGGGAACTAGCACAGCCCAGGGGCTGGCCACACATGGCCCAGGCTGTCCCTGCAGGCGCTCCAGCTGCCCCGCCCGGGGAGGCAGCCAGGCCTCCAGGCTCTCCTCAGGCCTGGGGGCGCCTGCGCAGCCAGGCCAAGGAGCGATGGGGTGGGGGGGACAAGGGGGCGGGGCTGGTAGGGGTCTGCCCCCACGCCAGCCCCGAATTGCAGAACCCAGTTAGCCCTGGGGGCTCAGAGGCGGCTCTGGACCCTCTGCGGGAGCAGCGGCCTCTGTCTTCAGGGTGCGGCTCAGCCGAGTCCTAATCGCCACAAGCCTGAGCTGAGCCCCGGCCAGCCGCCCCGACAGCTGGCCCAGCCCGAGCCTGACAGGCCCCCGACGGCTCTGGGGCCCTGCTCTCCAGGGGCATGCCCTGGGCCCAGGATGCCTCTTCGGGAAAAACTGTCCGGCATCCTGGGCGGACATGCCCGCAGAACTTGGGGAGGGCTGGCCGGGGCCTCGGGGGGGCGCCTACCTGCCGTGGGAAACAGGCCCAGTCCCCGGGCACACAGGACCACCTGCGTCCGCCCCGTCCCCGGGCCGGCGCCCAGCGTTCGACCTGTGGCCAGCGGGGCCTGGGTGGGCAGGGGCGGGACCGACGGGCTGGGGGCACCCGCCCCGGGCCCCGCAGCGCCTCACTGCCGCGGGTGTCACCGCGCTCCAGCGAAGTGTTGCCCTGATGCAGCCTTTGGGAGTGAACTGTGCTGAGAAGAGGGGATAAAATTAACGAGATAATAGCGGGGCCAAGGACCTGGGGAAGGCACCTCCCCGCACCCGCGGGCCCGGTAATTCCTTTTCTCCGACTGGAGCCTCAGATCTAAAGGCCTCTGCCGTCCATCCAGCAGGCCCCGCCGCCAGGAAATTTCATTAGCGCTGGAAAATAGGGAAGGTATTAAGCGGGGATAATGAAGGCCGGGGAGGGCGCCGCGCCTCAAGACGGTCCTCCTCCTGCCTTTGTAATGGGAGGCATGAACTTTCCCTCAAATCCATTTCTAATCCATTTGAAATACTACAGCAAATTATCTTTCCTTCAGCCCGAAAGCGGCCAGCCAATTTACTCCGAATAGAAGTGACAATGCCCAAGGATTTATCGCCATAACCTTGACTACACCAGGGTGAGGGCTGGGCTCCCCTCACCCCCCCCCGGGGCACGGAGGACGGGTGGGGGGAGATAACATTTTAAATGGGAAGTGGAGGTAATGGGGAGACAGACACACACACCACAAAAGTCGGTTTAGAAAGAAAAGCTGCCCATGTGTCCGCCCCGTGGGGAGCGGCCGGGGGCTCTGCCTGCCACAGCCCCGCCCCTGCCGTGCCCGGGGGAGGACAGCGGCGGGGCCAGGGTAGGCCGCGCCAGAAAACAGAGTGGCAGGCACCTGGGATGGGAGACCCAGAGGGAGGCGTCAGGGCCTGGGCAAGGCAGCGGGGCTCCCCGGGACACCCAGCACGCCCGCTCTGCCAGGCCCCACCCTCCGAGGGCTTCGCAGGTCCACGGAGGATGCCCGCGCTCTGCCTGCTCAGCCCTGTCCTGGCACAGTGCGCCCAGCCCCAGCAGCAGCCTGGCACCCTATTCCCAGGGCCAGGGCCAGGCCTGGGGACCCTGCACCCCAACACGAGGGCTGCTCCCCCACGCAGGACCCCTGGGCCGGAGGTCTTGGTCGCCCGTGGAGAGAGACCAGGGCCCATGCGGCTGCTGGCGGAGGGCCCAGCCAGGCTCCCAGGTGGGATTCAATTTCCCAGCCCACCCCCTCGGCCGGGCGGCCAAGGGCCTGTAGGCCAGGCCGCACAGGCAGGGGCGGTGACGGGGCAGGAGGCAGGCAGGCGGGCTGGGGAGTGGAGAAAACCACCGGGGAAGCATTTTTCAGGAAATGGAGCGCGATTCTGCGGAGCTTCGCGCGAGCGGGGAGTGCGCTGTCAGCAGAAGGAGCCGGCAGGCGGCTCTGCGCAGCAAATCCCAAGTAGGTCAGGCCCGCAGCCACCGTGACAGGCTGCACACTGCTTAGGTGCGCTTTCCACGGAAACGCTGACGGTCCGGGCCTCCCTGGGGCCCCTCCTCGGCGCCCCTGAGCCCCTGCTCCCGCCCCGGCCTCGGCCTCGGCCTGGCCGGTGCCCGCTCGGCCTGGCAGGGAGGTGCCCTGAGCACAGAACCCTCCCAGACAGACACCTCCAGCGCAAGGCCAGCGCAGCAAGGCCAGCGCAGCGCAGGGCCCTCCCCTCGGGAGGCCCCCAGGCATGCTGGGGGTCTGTAGGGCAGGCGCCGACAGAGTTCTGGAGGGGGAAAGACGGAGCCCCTCAGGCGTGCAGCGCTGGCAGCCCGGGCGGTGAGTGGGACCGCCAGAGCCCGGAGGGGACACACGCGGGGGTGGCCAGCACAGGCCTCGCAGGGGCCTGAGAAATGGGGCTCAGTGGCCAGGGACCCGCAGATGGACGATGCAGGCCTCACGGCGGCTGTGGCCGCCAGGCCTCACTCTTTCGGAACGCAGCCCGCAGCTGGCTCTGGGCTGCGGCCGCCCACGCCCACCCTGCAGCGGCGGCCCTGCCGCGGCCTGGCCCCCGTGCCCACCTCCCGCCTTTTCCGGCCAGGCCACCTCGGGACAGAGGCACGCCGACTGCCGGGAGCTGGGGCGGGGGTCGCACCGCCCCACCAAGAGGGGCACGGGGGGCGAGGGGCTGGCCGCGAGGATCACCTGGAGGCTCCCTCAGGTGCCGCTCCTTCCCGAGGGAGCCCCCATGCCTCCTGGGTAAAGAGCAAAAGTGACTCCGGGCACCCAAGCGAGCTGCGAGCTGGGGGCACCGCCAACTGTGCTGCGCCTGCCACACAACCCGCGGCTCCGTCACGAGGGGCTGGGCTAGTTTATGTGCTCACATCTACTCAATTGGTATTTCGATCAATGGATGCATTACAAGCTTTCCTTTTAACAGCCTAATAAACAACAAGATGGAAAGTAAAATTCTCCATAAAATGACACTTTTAAAAATCCATTTCAACTGAAGCTATTGGTGTTTTGTGTGTTAGCTGCAAAAAACGGTATTATTGGGCCTTAATGGCCCCACTAGGGAGTGCGGAGTTCAGCGGGAGGGGCGGGGGGCGGGCCCTCCGGGCTGGGTCCTTAGCCCAGGACCCCTTGGCCCTTGCGGGCTGGTGAGGGACAGGGCCGGCCCTGGCCCTGCCCCTGCCCCTGCCCCTGCCCCCTGCCCCTGCCCCTCTCCATCACCCCTCCTCTCCCTTCTGCCTTCCGTCCGCCGCTCCGCCCTCCACCCCATCCTGCCCTGCCCACTCACTGATGGACCCCTGGCCCCCAAGACCATCTGCCAGGGGCTCCCCGCTGGCAGCTGCTGAAAGGTGGGGGCTCAGGCGTTGCAGCTCCTGCCCAGAGTTCCCCGGGACGACCTCGGGAGGTCCAGGCTCCCTGGCTGCTGGGTGACGGCCCCGTGTGTGCCCGCCTGGCGGCACCCGCCCTCCCAACCGCAGGGCAGGCCGGAGCGGGCCGCGCGGCATCGGCTCCCGTCTCCCCTCCACACCCGGCCCAGAGCGTGGGGCGCCTCCCCAGGCTGGGCCTGCCTGCCCCCGCCCGGGACCTGCGCGCCCACTCATGCAGTGAGCCCTCCTCGGTGCCCTCCCCGCCGACGTCCGGGTCGGGCCCTGACCCCCACCCCAGGGTGCGGGGACCCCACCCACGGAGCGCCTGCTGAGTCCAGGCGCCCAGGCCCCCGGAGTAGCCATCCCCGGGCCTCTGGCGGCGGGGGCCTCGCGCCCCTTTGAGAGGCCCCCCTCATCGGCTCCACGGCCGTCTCAGGGCCTCTACCCTCGCACTGCGCGCTGCCTGCCGGGTGCCCGCCCCGCCGGGCCCCGCCGGGACCAGCCCTTCCGTTGCTGGGCCCCGGCCGCCTGCACCCATCCCTCTGGCTCTGTCTGGGCTGTGCCCCCGGCCTCAGC